ATTCTATATATACTTATCTAATGCAAATATTATTCAAGTATGTATATATTTCTAATACATTATGACTATCATATTATTTTTAACCTACTGTATTTTGTATAAATGAGTCCCATATTTCAAGTTTCCCCTAATACACTTTAAAAATAGTGAACTGTATCGCAAAATTCTGGGAAGTGAATATTTCAGGTAATTAAATGTGGGGTTGTGAATTCCTTTGACAATAGAAATGAGTTAAGTTCACATTCACATGCAAACTTAACAATTTGTCTGCCATCTCTGGTTGCCACCCAGCTGAACTTCAATGTCTACTCCTGACTCTTCTCCCAGAAATTTTTTCCCACTGATCTATCGCTATGTTGCCCTAACTGCTAAAATAAATCTGGAAGTGCAGAAGGACAACACCCCAATCCATGTTTAGTGAATACAAGGAACAAAGACTCTACCTTTAACAACATGCCTCATTTTGATTCCTTAGCCCGAGACATCAAGATTGTGAAACCATTGGAAGATGTGGAAGTAAGCGAAAAAGAAAGTGCTTCTTTTCTCTGTGAAATTTCGCACGATGATGTCCAAACCCAGTGGTTCAGTAATGAGAACAAAATCCGGGCTGGAGAGAACATCAAGCTATGTCAGGAAGGTAAGGAGAAGAGAATAGAAAGGACTTGTTGGAATCTTGAGGACACAAAATGGATAAGACGGTGGCATGTTACAACTGGCTTGCAGCTAAAGACTGGTGATCGGATATCTGCAGACCAGATCTTCCCTTGGTTCTTTATCAGGTTGAATCTTGTGGTGTTCCTCAAATCATCTTAGGAATTGTAGCCTCCCTAATTTTAGAGACACATGAAATGAGACATACAACAGGAATGGAACAGGACAGGACAGGACAGGACAGGACATCTTTATTGCAGTGATTGACCAGCATACCATACAGTTTTGTAATAGGATGACTTTGACTTTGACTTAACCCACCCAATAACTGAAACTGCTGAGCAGTTTACATTAAAGCACACTAACAATCTGAGTAAAAACCCTATACAATAAAGCCAAATAAAATTGTTGTACAGTTAATCCCCAGTTTAAGTGTCCTGAGTCGCTTGCAGTGAGATGGATGATGACAAATTTGAAAATAAATAAATAAATAAACAAACAAACAAACAAACAAGTT